TTGCAATTGCAAATACATGCATTCCTTGCAGAAGATAAAGAACATAGTTAAACTAGGAAAACTCCACTTTAAAGTTCTCTTACACAACCAACCATTTTCCCAGAAAGGACGCCATTTAACATTTTAAACATTTCTTACCCCTGCTCCCTCCGCACCAAAGTACCAATTAAAAGAATATCCCTCAACACCCTCCATTGAAATATATGTTTATCAAACATAACTAAAGGTATCAAATCATCAAATCAAATTATAAAACAAGATAATACCAACATAAAAAATACAATACATTTTGCAATGAATGTACACATTTGTGTCCTCTTTTATCAAAATATAGCTTCCTTCACAAAGCAAACTAATTTCCCCAAACTGAGACAAGACTGCATACATAAGTTTCTGCATAGCGAATATAACGAAACACACCTAAATTTATAACCTCTGCAAAAATGGGAATATCATCAATGTGTTGTGTACCAACGTTGTATGACACCAGATCCTTCGTCCCATTATTACACTTCACAAGAATATCACCATCCTTCCAAAACAGCAATGGTGTTCTAGCAATTGGAAACAACCTTACCGTTGTTAATTGAGTCCAAACTCCATTAACTCCAGATTCATTCCTCACCCATACCTTCAACAATTTCTCTTGAAAAGCTGACCAGGGACACTGCACAAGGGAAAGGGATCCTTTCAGAATGTGCAGACCACTAATGTAAAAACCAGGAGACTGGAAATCGTCCGGCATTGATATCTTCTGGAAGACCTCATTGCTCATATCAAATGAAACAATAATCTCAGAATCGTTCTCCTCCTCGTCCGAGTCAGGCTCATCCTCACTGTAATATTCTTCGTGCCCTAACCAATAACAAGAACCATTCAGGTATCTCTTGCGTTCAGGACCCCAGACAAAATAATCAGCAAAATACTCAACAAAAGAGAAGATTTCTCTCCAGGAGTTAGAGCTCATAGTATAAACCTCAATCCTAACATGATCATCCACATTGGATTTCCAGATTCTGACCACTTTGTAATCACTGCTTCTGGGATCGTACCCAAATCCAACACTGCACGTAAAATAATCGGGGTCGGAGCTTCCGATGCAGGTCTCTGGAAGTCTTCTTGATTGCCTAATTCCGGGGTTTAGTAAAACAACATCGTCATCCACAGCTAGACAAATGATTCCATTACAGTGATCCAGAACTCCAAGATATGATTGGTAGGAAGCTGTAGAACCTTCTTCGATTAATTTGCACACATACGAACCAGTTTCTTCTTCATATGAGAGCCAAGACAAGGAATGCCTGGTGCGATTCTCGGCGGAGACAATAACATGGTGTTGGGTTTTGTCGGTGATTGCCAAAGAAAGGTGCTTGGATACAAAATCCGGGTTCTTGATGAGAACCTGCCATGACCTGTGGACGCACTGGAATCGCATCAAGGATTTGACTGGAAGCTGATGCAAGATTTCCTGAATGATATCTCCGGGCAGATCAGCCATGTCTGCGATTGGATTGAAATTGAAAAGGGGTTTTCACTTTTGAACGGATCCTCTTTCAAAGCCCTCAACAATTTCTCCGATTCGTAGCAGCCAAAGACAAGATTTCATAGAACCCCAGCAGAACTGGAGAAAAACGAAGAGTGAAGATAATAAGTGATTACATTTTTTTTTTTACCGAAGATATTTAAATAGCCTTTTGTATTTTTCTCAAGTTGAAATTCCCAGCTAGGATTCCACGATGGCAAAGAAAATGGTTTCTG